AAGTTTTCTTGCAGGAATTGGGAAGAAAACTAGGCCTTGAGAGACCAGTAGTTGTGCAAAGCATGTACATCTTCAAGGTACAGTAACGCAAGTCGTCACTCATGAAAGTGCTAGGTGGGAAGCTGTGAAATTCCTCTCTTCTCACATCACCTTCCTTTCCTTGCAGCAACCTGGCATTGGTGGTGAAGGTGAGGTTTGTATTATTGCTATGTGATGCTGCTTCTTTAGGATAGGAGTATTACCAGGATAAAGGCTCAGAATCAGACTTAAGCCTGTGAGTTTTGTGGTCCAAACCTTCTTAAAATAATTAAAGAGCACCCACGTTTCTACATCATCTGCAACTTGAACAAAGAGCTGCTTTTATATTTGCAGCAGGCTGAAAGGTGATATGTTTATGTATGATTTAATGTGTATGGCAGATCAGGTGGGCAGGGTGGCTCAGGACAAGAAGTCAGGGAGAAAAACCTGCTGTCCTTGTAGTGGTACCGAATTCCTCGGGCATTAAACGACCCTAACGACAGTGTCTCGTTGCAGTGACCCCACACCAGGATGCCACCTTCCTGCACACGGAGCCTCTGGGCAGGATCCTGGGGTTCTGGATTGCGCTGGAAGATGCCACGCAGGAGAACGGCTGCTTGTGGTTCATCCCTGGCTCCCACACCAGTGAGTGTCATGGCACTTCAGTGTGTGGTGGGAAACGTGCTCTCTCGTCTTGGTTAAGGGTGGGAGGGTAGCATGGACCGTGTTACGGGCTCTGCAGCACACAGTGCCTGCAGAAGCACACTGCTGTTCTTGTCTGTTGGAAGGACAACTTTACTTACTGCAAGGATCTCCCCCTGTGCTGCTGTCAAATCTGCAGCCACATTGTAAAAAATAACTGCTTCACTTTGCTCTTAGCCACCAGTCCATCATGAGTCTAATACAACAATATTTTTTAATTAAAAAAATAGGTAGTATACCTGGCTGACGCTGTGTTTAGTTTTAAGGTGACATCTAGCTTAGAAACAAAGAATCCAGGGTAGTAGGGCCAGGAAGGACAGTCCTGATTTTTTTATTTACTCCTGAATTTGTCAGTGAGGCGCTTTAAAACTGCTCCTGAATCTTTTATTTTCAGTTCAGTAGTATTTTAAAAACTTCCCCTCCAAGAGTCAGGCTCTGCCTTGCCAGGTCCCTGAGATGTAAGACTTTAATGTAAAGAAGGTCTTAAACCACTGGGTCCTTTCTTCCTGCAGTGAAATGAATCACTGCTGTGTGTTGGTGCTCCTTCCACAGCTTTGACTGTAGCCTTGAACACGCTCATTGAGTCTCATCTGGACAGCAATACACAGAGAAATCATTCTTTTATTATTATTATTCATTTTTTCCTTTCAGTTTTTTTTTTCACTACCTCTAGGGCACACTAATCAGCTTTATACTGTTGTTCATCTAGGCATTCCTTTAATGAGTGTAATCGCAGTGCTCTTAAGGTTTCAAGGCACTCATCCGTCATGAATTCTGAAGTCAGCTGCACTCTGGTTGCAATTTATGCTATTATAGAAAGGCGATGTGGGCCAAAGGTTGGCTTTGCATAAGTGTATGGCTGTTTGTGTTCCTAAAGGGCTATGTTGCAATGCACAAAAGAGCTGGAAAGGCAAACTAAAGGCAGTTGTTTATCAGTTTCTGCCACAGCTGGAAAATCATAAATCTTTGCTTAATGAAAAAAACTCCACTTAATTTACTAAGGAAAAAATTGAATATATGGTGACAATAATAAAGTTCCTATCATTGCCAAGAGAAGTCACAGATAGTAGCTACCTGTTTAATTTTTGTGTGTTTTAATTTGTGGACCTGCAGATGGAATTACCCGGAGGATGGTCCGTGCAACTTCAGGTGCCTCAACCTGTGTAGAGTTTGTAGGGTCGGAGCCAGCCTACGACGACAGCCAGTTCATACCTCTGCCTATAAGTAAAGGTAAAAACCACCCCCAAACAAGTCTGCTTTACAGCTCAAGAAGAACAAGAGCACTAACATCGTATTTTAACACTTGCATCTTCCCCTGTATTTTAAAGCTAGCACTCACAGTTTGGAAAAAGCAGTCTGGATGTTTCTTCCAAACAGGTGGGCTCATTCTCATCCACGGTGAAGTCGTCCATAAAAGTGAACTGAACAGCTCGGAGCTTTCTCGCCATGTGTTCACCTTTCATGTGATGGAAGCCAAGGACACCAGCTGGAGCAAAGAGAACTGGTAAGGTCGCCATCCTAACGAGCAGCTGTGGAAACCAGAGCCTTTTCAGGGCAATGGGCAGGAGAAACTTTTGTTGGTGATCTCACGTGTCACAGTTTCTGTTGGCAGTACCTCGGTTAGCGTTGATTTCGTACCCATAGAACTGGAGTAGCTTCTGAAGTCTTGTTTCTACCTCTTCCTTACTTCCTAGGCTCCAGCCAACTCCCGAACTGCCTTTTCCATCGCTCTATACTTGAAGTTAGTGATTGACTTCTGGAGTCAATACCTGACCAATATTCCTTTCTCATCATTCGTTCACATTCCCTTTAAATACAACTTTCACTAGATCAGCTCTCAGGATTACTTTATCTTCTTCTTGGAACAAGGACAACACAACCAAATACACCTGCGTTAGACAGAAGCTTCTCCTACAGCATGAGCCCCACCAGTATGAGAACAGTCACCCAGTCCTTTTGGTAAGGAAACTTCTTCAGTCGTGGGAACAGACCACTAAAGACCACTGCACCTTGACTGGGACCAGTTAAGTATTTCTTCTGCTTAAGTCAAGAGCTTGTCTGGTGCATTTCTTGACTGTGTGGGTCCCAGCAGTGTGGGTCAATGTGTCTTGTGAAGGCGGCTGACTTTTACCCTTAGGTCTCTGTCCTATTGTTTGAATAATAGTGATTAAAAAGAATCCTACTGTGGGCAGAATTAAGCAGGAAGTACACTTTTATACTCCGTCTTCTAAGTATTTCTAGCAAACTCTAGCTGTGTGATCTCTAGGTGTGTTGATTAAAAAAACTTCTTAAAGATTCACGTTGAAGTGATGAAAACAAAAACCCTCAAACTCTTAACATTTAAATAAAAGACTATAAATTCTCCTTTTTATCTCCCTCTTTTCTTTGAGAAAGACGCAGTGTGACCTTCTCTCAACAGATGAAACCAGTGCAAAGTTGTCTGGTGACCAGTTTGAACTCTCAGTGTGCGCAGAAACAACTCCTAGCCCAAAACCAACCTAGAGCAAGGTGAAACCTGAGAAACATTGAGTTACATCAGAGGCAAGCTTGAGTCTGTATCTCAAACTGAACAGAAACCCTGTAGGTGTAATTTCACTGGCACTGGTGCAGTGGCAACCCTGAGAGATGAGCCCGGTTTGTTTGAAAGCTGTGAGTAGGGCAGAAGAAGGAAAATGACTTTAAGGCTGGTTACTGTTTTATGGCTGTGGCTCTGATGGAAGCAGCTTTTTCTGTATCTTTTTCTGTATCTTGCCATTAGAAGAGTTAATAATTTAGAGTAGCACCCTTCTGCTGAGGAGCGATAGCTTGTCCTCTGATTACATGCACCACTACCTCCGATGTACAAAACCATCTGGTTCAAGTGCACAAATAAAAGCAAGATGCTGGACTGGATTTGCAGGATTTCCTGTTCAATGTGAAGGAAACTCAGCCCAGCACAATTACTCAGTTTGGTTTCCTACAGAGTATCTGACCATTTACTGCGTTATTAACCAAAACCCAACTCGGGACAATTTTGACATCCTCAGGAAAAGCAGGACCAAATCCCAGGAGCCCTGTCCAGACAGGGTAGGGGTGAGTTGGGCAATGCTGCCTCATTGCAGGGCAAACAGAAAATCAGATTCTGGGGCCAATTTTGCTGGCTCGTTCTGCTGCCCTGCAGCACTGACTTCACGTCCTGGTCTCACTCTTAAGACACAGTCTCAGGGCCAGTGCTGTAGCACAGTGTCATGTGAGGTATCTTGGACTCACCCAAAACTGTTCCCAAAAGTGAATAAAAGAAGTGTCAGAAGTGAACTTCATAGTGAAAACAAGAATCCTGGAATGCAAATCTTCTGCTTGGACACATCTCGGGGGAAGGGAAGAGGCAGGGAGGACACATGCTGATGGGGCTTGCTCTAATGGACGCTTGGCAAACTGGCAACAGGTTGGTTTTCAATAGACAAGTGTTTAATGCAGAAAAATTTGGGGGGTGTTTTGAAACAAAATGGTAGTTACAGTTTAATTAAATGGACAGAATTAAATAACTTTGTTGATAGAAGCATTTTTATAAATTATTTAACATCTAGCTGAAAAAACGTGCAAAGTAGAAAACCAAAATAGTGTTAGAAAAGTTTGACTTGAACAGCTTTTCTGCTTTCATGGTTAATGTGCAGTTTTACCTGTGACTTCACTTAATTCCCCCCCCCACATTTAATACTACTCCAAATGAATTGAGATTGAAATCTGAAAGAAAACATTTTGCTTGTTGCATAAACCTCCAGGGCTAACATTGCAACACCTGCAAGTACCGTTTGGAGTAACGAGTCTCTTACCCTGTGAAACCTCCCCCACCCGCCCCACATCAACTCAGCTATTACAGCCACGGAGTTTGAAGTTGTGTTCGTGCACCGCAGTGCGTTGGTACGGCTCTTGCCAATGGTGACTGGATACACTGGGACGCTGTACTCACTCTGTGTATACGGTGGTCACCCTAATTCTAAAACATGCTTTAAATGGTGCTTACACAGAAATGAGGACTTGCACATGCAGCACTACAAGATGGCAGGACTCAGAGCAGTAAAACAAGTTTTGGCTCTGATGCAATACAGATGGCAAAATCTGAGAGGTTTGCTTTGTTTTTCCCTCTCACTGACTTACCTCTTCTTCTTCTTCTACCTCTGAGCACCCAGAAGAGACACAAAAATAGCATTTGTGTTTAATAATCCAATTTGCAAGTTACATTTGTGTTCTTGTGAGAATATAAATGAACTCATGCTCTTATAAACGAGGGGAAAAAACCAAGACCAAAACAAAACCTTTATTTTAAATAGGTCTTTTTCACTTCTGTTTTTAACAGTTTTATCTGCCGTACCTAAAGCAGTGTTTAGATCATCTTTGAGCTCTCATTACAGTGCATATCCTATTAGCACATTTCTCTAGAAAGGGAGAAACCTGTTCCTGGAAGTGCTTCTAAGCCATAAACATTATCTGGAGGTAGAGAGGCAACAGCAGGTTATCAATTTGGGTAGTATAAGCTTCCAAAAGAGAGACTAAACTCACAGATGCCAGAATCCAGGCATAGCTGGAGTTCAGATTCACACTGCTGTCAAAGATCAGAATGAGTGCCACAGCAATGATCTGAGCAAAAATAGCTGTCATTGTCCCTTCAAAGGTCTTCTTTGTTCCTGGCCATTTGATTTCCCCCATTGTACTGCCAAAAACGGAGGCAATGGTGTCTCCTACCCCTACTGCCAGCACCCCAGAGTAGGGGACCAGTGCTCCTGCCCCAGACAAGGTACCTTTAGGAGCACAAGATCTGGGGAACAGCCACACTGGGAGGGACATGCCAAGAAGAAGATAAATATGAGTCAAGATTAGAGGTCCGCTGTCTCTTTCATCCAAGAAGAGAGACAGCAAGTGCCTAAGGGTTTGGCCGAAAGGTTTGATCCTGAAGTACCGAATGTACTCTAAGAAGATAAACACTGCCAGACACAGTACTGCAGCAATGTAGAGAAGCTGGCGGTCATAGATCAGTCCAGGAACGTAAGTAGCTACAACAATGAAATGGAAATATTTCCTGGTTATAGTCGAGGCCTGGTGTTTTTTAGATTCGGATGATCTCTTGGCATTCTGGTAGAAAACTATGCCACATGCTGAAGCAGCCAAGAAGGTCCAGTATACAAGAAGGTAAACTCTTGTCTGTGTCTGAAAAAGAAACTGGAGTAGCCAGAACAAAGGGTTCCTCTGGATCAGTCGGTAAAGCCAAGGCATGATGACCCCTAAGCCTAGCACTGCCGTCATCATGTGGAAAAACATGGAGGAGATCCACGTACCTGAATCCATGAAAATGAAGAGAACAGTGAAAAAAAGCCCAAGGAGAACAACTCCAACAACTGCTACCAGAAGGAAAAAGTCTATGGGATCACCTCTGCCCTCAATTACGTTCAGTGAGCGTTTAATGAGCTGATTGAGAACAAAACTTATACCTTCCAGAACCAGCAGTGCCTCCCCAGGAGTAAAACATCGAGGCAGCAAGTACAGCAAGATCATACTGAGGTAGACAAAAATTAGCAGCACTTCTAGGACCTCTATCACTTCTGAAACAGTCAAAGAGTGCTTCATGGTATAGATAATTATACTGCCAGCAATACCAGTAAGTATGCAAGTGTTGGTTGGCACAGGTTTTGTGATGCCAACCGCTATTACAGACAGAAAGAGAGCGACCAGCATGCCAGTGGAGGCTACGACGATGCCAAAATGTTCGAAGTACACAATGCCAGCAAACTTGCACCTCTCCTTCATGGCTATCCCCAGCAAGGGGATGACCATGCTGGCTGGCAGGAGGCCACTGTTTGCTGCTGTCCGGAACTGGAACACAGCCCCCCCCAGCTGGAGCAGGCGGTCCCATTTGAACTGGACATAAAAAGCCTGGACGGCGAGAGCGACAGCGCACCAGGAGTAGCGGTCCCACACCACCGCGTGCACCGAGAGAACGATGACGAACACGATCAGGGATTCCACCAGCACTGGCTTCTTTAACATGATTCCAGTCTGATGGGGCTCAAGCTTCCAAAATATTTCTCAGGAGTCCCAATGTGCTCAACAGTTGTCCCTCAGGAAGAATTCCCTTTCATGCTACTGAAATTCCTATTAATAAAAAACAAAAGAGAGAACAATTAAAGCAACTATTAGAAAAGCTAAAGCCTCTGCACAGCTGCTTTGTTCTTAAGCTCAATTTAATTATGTGGGAATAGTTCATGTCAACACACAGTGAATAACAAAAATAAAACCGCAGTGAGGTAATGGATCAGCCAAAGCTGTTACCCTGCTCTGAGAATCGAGCCTGCAGGGATGGAAATGAACCATTGAATACTGGGGTATTCAGATACAGGCTTAAATATTTATGTTGCAGTTGAAATACGAAGCAAACAAGAGGTGGGTGCTGGTCTCTTCTCCCAGGTGATGGAGGACAGAACAAGGGGAAACGGCACCAAGCTGTGCCAAGGGAGGTTCAGGTCAGAGATAAGGAGGAAGTTCTTTACCGAGAGTGTCGTCAGAGGCTGGAACAGGCTGCCCAGGGAGGTGGTGGAGTCACCATCCCTGGATGTGTTTAAAGACCGGGTAGATGAGGTACTTAGGGATATGGTTTAGTGGGTAGACAGGAGCGGTTGGACGTGATGATCTCAGAGGGCTTTTCCAACCGAGCGATTCTGTGATAAATATTCCCAGAGGCTTTGCTGTGATTATGTGAATTTGAAATATAGTTAATGTAAAAGTTTAAAGACAATTTTAGAATCTAATTTTGTATGCAGTTTTCACTGTAGGTTTACAGAATATTCCTCCTTTTATTGAATATTTCTCCTCCCACTGTTGTGCAAACCCCCTACGTACCTCTCTCTCTCTCTCTCTCTCTCCTTCTGTTACTGGTGTTATGATTGAATACTTCCACTACTGCAGCAGGTGCTTTATAATGCTATGTAGTGGTTACAATAGAAACAGGAAAGAAAACACCACAATCATTAAGAAAATCTTAAAATGGCATACTTTCTCTAACTCTGATCTATTACCAGAACTGTCAAGATAAGCTAAGTTGGAGATCTGAGCACAGCAAAATGAAATTAACAGCCCTCATCCTGCCTGTGGGTGGATGTTCACATCCTTGGTATTAAGCAGCTTAAATTGTTTTTCTTTGACAGCACTGCTGGGTTGTATTTGTTACAGATATCTACCATACCCTACCATTTAGGGCTACAAAGATGATGGAGGGAGTGGAGCATCTCCCTTATGAGGAGCGGCTGAGGGAGCTGGGTCTCTTTAGTTTGCAGAAGAGGAGACTGAGGGGAGACCTCATTCATGTTTATAAATATTTAAAGGATGAGTGTCACGAGGATGGAGCCAGGCTCTTCTCGGTGACAAACAATGATAGGACAAGGGGTAACGGGCACAAGCTGGAACACAGGAGGTTCCACTTAAATTTGAGAAGAAACTTCTTCTCAGTGAGGGTGACAGAGCACTGAACAGGCTGCCCAGAGAGGTTGTGGAGTCTCCTTCTCTGGAGACATTCAAAACCCACCTGGACGTGTTCCTGTGCAACCTCATCTGGGTGTTCCTGCTCCGGCAGGGGGATTGGACTGGATGATCTTTTGAGGTCCCTTCCAATCCCTAACGTTCTGTGATTCTGTGATACAGCTTCATATGTGAGTAAATGAGTCTGATTTATTCTTCCTTATCTTTAAAGAAAGGTACTGGCTTAATTTCTCCTCAACCCATGGCACAGCCTCTTCCCCCTGTCAGCTGTCTTGATGCCCATTTTCCGAGCGAGAACCCCACCGTCCTATTTTACACAGACTCTAGATCTGTATCAGCAAGTGAAATATTTTAATGTTAGTCATTAAAGACACTAGACAAATATTAGCAAGTCTCATCTCAAAAATGCATCACTACTTTAGAAGTGATTTGTTTCACTAACCTCTGGTATGCACTGTTTTCCTCAAAGTCTTCAAAAGTAAGCAAGCCTCCTAAGACACAGTTGATCACGATCTAAAGCTGTTGTTGTTCTCTGTATCTCCTCCCTCCCTTGTGTTACTAACACTGACTGCCTTTAGAGCACTTCACCTTCTTTGGATCAAGGCTCACAGCCAGTGGCAGCTGCGCTGCAAACTAAATTTTCCTTTAAACGTTTGGGCTGCAAGATAAATAGTTGTGATATCCAGCAATGCACACAGTGACTGTTAGAGTCAATCACACTTTATCTTCAAAGTACTGTGAGCATTCACAACATCGTGAAATTCTCACCAGCCTTTGTTGCTTTCTGGCATCCTTATCCAAAATCAAGTATGCCCTAGCCATACATAAGCCAATGCCACGATATCGGCATCTCTTTTGGGTTCTGTGAAGGTATCCACGTCCATATTTCTGTTGACAACAGACTGGCTGATACAGGTGTACACATCCCTGCTGGAGAAGATATCCCTAGCTGAACCTTTGGATTGCTTCGTCCTTTCTGACCCACTCTTAAGCAGATTAGTAGTAAACTTCTATTAAATTCCGCTCCTCTGGTCTCATTACTAACACCTACATTAGCTCCCTCGTGGAACGCTAGACGTTTATTTGCAGTTCGGGTTTGAGATTTCATCCAGTGCTGACAGAGATCTTAGTGACAGAATTACTGGGTAACAATTAAAATTTGTACTGTCAAGCTCTTTCACGCTGTGGGTCTGCAGAGTGTTTTATTTATGATTTTGTACTGGAAACTCTTACTTGACAGGGTTAATAGCTTGCTTTTTGGCATCCTCATTTGTACAGCCTGAAATACTTGATTGCCAAACAACTTAATTACATTTGCTGATGCTATACAGCTAGATTAGGCCAAGTGTAATCTTTTTGCCATCACAAGTCCATTTTTAAATGGAACCAGAGAAAAAATAATCATACAGTCAACAAAACAGAATCGACATGGGCAACAAATCTGGGGTCTCAGTTGTTCTTTCTGAGCACAGGGGTGGGGGAAGTTTAAGGTTTATTTGAGAAGAGGCAGAGTAAATATGCTAGCCAAAGACTGAAAAAAACCTCCCACTCAGTCTGGCACCTTTAAGGTTGCAACCCAGCTCTTGCACGAATGATGCCACATGGCAGCTTCCCCCAGCAGGCAGCCAGCCAGCTGGGCTACAAGAGGAGGAATTTCCCCATACGAAACGGGGTCTCCGGCTGCTCTGGGCGGAGAAGCTTCCCCTTGACGTGCTCCCAAACGCCCCGCAGCCCTCACCCTGCTGCAGCACTTCTGCCTCCTTCCTCTCCTCCCTGCGTCCTCCGCAGCGCTGCGGGCTCCCTTTACCCCGTCCTCCCGTCTCTCTCCCCCCGGACTGCAGGACCCCGCAGCCCGGGGCATGGGCGACAGAGGAAATAGCGGCCGGGAGGTCTCGGAGCTGCTCAGGGGCTGTGCCTGGGTGAGTCCCGGGTCCCGCGGCCTTTCCCAACCGCCCCCCTCCCGCAGCCCAGGAGCCGAGCACTCACCCGCCTCCCAGGACGGTGCCATCTTGACGCTGCCGCCTGTCACATGACGGGGGCCGGGGGCGGAGCGTCAGCCCCACCACGTGACGCCGGCGCCGCGGAGGGGGAGGAGGAAGGGGGGGGAGCCCGACTCTGCGCGG